ATTCTAACCATTTCCAACTAATTTAAAGGAAATCTATTTCAGGATGACCCTGCTAGTCTATTTATCAGCCCTTCCTATCAAAAATCTGTATGGGTCTGATAATCATGTCCCTTTGACTTTTGGTCTGTCATTTTGGCGGGGGGGGAGGGCAGGTTCTTGCCAGGTAGTGAGCGCTCTGATCCTAATGTTTCAAAGACTGCAGGCTTACGCTTACTTGTAAACACACAAGTATTCCCTTTGATTTGAATGAGATGTCTCACATGCTTAAAGATAACGATGTACCCAAATGCTTTGAATAGACCGGAATGCTCAGTGCTTTGGGCAGCTTCAGTCCACTGATCTTTGTGAAATGTGCAGAATTATAAGCCCTGAAGGCTGAGCTCTTTAGTTATTTCAGAAGACAGGTGTAGCTTGGACATTAACAGTTCAGACTTCTCAGTTGTTATTCTCCACAGCTGACCTGCATGACGTACCTGTAGGGACGAGCAGACAATTCATTTTCCATGGCCCATTAAATCCTTCCTGCTAAGGTGGACCTCAAGCAAGATCTAGTAGTATCTCCAAGCACTGTTGGCTTTTAAGCACTTTTTAAAAGGTGGACCCTGGGCCCCTACCATGTGTTACACTTAAAACGTGATTAACTGGTTAATCACATCTGAAATTGTATCCCAGCCATGTGTTAAAGCAAAGAATGGTGCGATAAAGGAATAAGTCACAAAGTTATTACACAAAAATGTTCAATAACTTTTTGGATGGTTCCTATCATGCCATTAATTGAATGTGTAGCCAGGTACTTCTCTGTGGCTGGGAGACCCATCAGCTGAGGGGCCTTCCAGTTGCAGGAGCTTGCTTCCTGCTGCTGCAGGGTCAGTCTGGGATCGTTATCCCAGGCTCCCCCTGCACCAGCAAAAAGCATGATGGGATCTGATATTCAATCCCACAGTCATGCCTCCTGCCATGTATGTGTGACATGGAAGGAAACATGATTGTGGGGATTGCGCATCAGATCCTATCATGTCTTTGACTGCATATCTGGCAGGGGCCTTAGTATCAAATATGACAGTGTTTTTTGTCCACTTATAATTGCATTTATCTTTAAGCACTAGTTTTGCTGTCTTGCAACATTTACTGACCTGCAAAATATAGTTTTGTATCAAACATATTTTGAAACCCAGAGCATTAAACTCCAATTCTCTTTGTTCACTAACAAAGTAACGCACTCAGATTCCAAGTGATTCTTGTTTATTTGTTATGCAGAGCACACATATTTCCTTTAGGTGTAGGCAGACCCAAAAGCAAAACTTCTTACCCACAATAGCTATTCTTTTTTTCTTCATTCTTTCTTACACTCTCTAAAACAGAAACACAAAAGGCAAAAAGGTGATGTATGCATAAGAGAGTGACATTTAGTATCTATGTCTTGGTGAAGAAAACCGGTATGTTAATGCAATGGAAGCAAATGCTATGTAGTTATAGATATTAAGACCAACATTTTCAAACTTGAATGCTTAAACTAAGCAATTAAATGCATATATAGTCACCTGAATTAAGTATTCCATTTTGAGAGATGCTGGGAAATCAAGTAGTCAAGTAGTCAATCCATTTTGAAAATCAGGCTATTAATATAGATGCCTTACTTTAGTCACTCACATTTGAAAATGTTGGTTTGTCAGTACAGACACCTGAGAAAATTATCACATAACATGGACAGACATGAGGAACTAGACTAGAACATCATCTTGCTTTCCTATTAAAAAATGACTGCCACCTACTACTTGAGCTGAAGGAGAAGTCCTACAGTTTCTGGTAGTAGAAGATCTCATATCCTTCTAGTAGGCTCACTGCTTGAGAAAAGCTTTACCCATTTGCTTAGTTACTCAAAGTAGGTACTGTATGCTAGACTTCTGGAGGCCCAGTTGAGTATCCTGTAAAATCCTTTGCTTGTGCAATATTGTCCACTGCTTGAGTCTTCATATAATTTATGATTAACAGAACACTCAGAACCATGTACTGTCAAGAACTTATATGCTAATTCCCATTCATATAAGGGAAATAATAAGAATTGCTTGAAGATGGTAAGGAACTTAAACATAAAAATACCAAAGTCGAACTTCCATTTTGCCTCTAATGTGATGCAGACGGGGTATCAAACTCTTCTGGCCCCACAGGGCCAGATGAGTAGCATGGAACCAGCCTATGGGCTATATAAATGGTGTGCAGCCATCCCCATGGAGTGGACTGGGCCCACAGATGCCCCCTCCCCTCCTCTTTCCCACCCCCCACAACATGCAGGATCCAGACCCCCAGTGCTCACTCCAAGGTCCAGGGCTGCTGCCCATCCACTCTAGCTGGATCAGGATGTGATCTGCATATGGTGCCCACTCCAGCTGGTCTGGGGTGAGCGTTGCATGCGGCATCAGTGCTGGAGCAGGAGTCACATGCAGCACACATGTCAGACTGGCTAGAGCTGGCTCTGGATAAGACATGCAGGGGATCCATGGCCCCTCCCCTCCCTGCATGCGGCATGGGAAACATGGCACATAGTGCCATGTGCACCATGTCCCCAGGACCTGCATGTGGGACTGGTCCAGCATGCACCATATGTGGCATGTGAGTTAACTCAAGACCCAGGGCCAGCTGTGAGGGCTGGATGATATATCTCTGGCCTGTGGGCCATACCTTTGACATCCCTGAGTTGATTTAGTTGCTGATTACCTCAAACTTTCTTGTCTCCTTGGGACTCCTCTGTTCTACTTCTATCATTTCCCATTCTTTCCATGACAGCCTAATGCATCCTCAGAGATTGATCTTGTTCCATAAGAATTGCTACACAATGCATTTAGTTCATCCAGCCCAGTATTCTGTCACCAACCATGGCAAATAGTAAATGCTCTGGAGA